CAGCACCACCCCCACCACCATCAACACTGCGACGCCACAGATAGGCACGAAGCGGTATCCATCTTTTGTTGCTTCTGCCCTGGGGCTCGGCGCCATGTCGTCACGCAAGAGCACGGTCACCACGCAAAACGGACGCGGCGCGGCGGACAAGCGCGATGCACAGCGCGATGCGCCGCGCGAGCAGCTCTCGACGGGCCTCTGGCTGCTCAAGCACACCCAGGGCATCGTGACCACCGCCACTGCACTCGGAATCCTCCATCTGCGTACCAGCCATGTGCTCTACTTTACCATAGGCAGCCTGGCCACCAGCTTCACCGCCAAGGGACTCAAGCGCGTCATCAAGCAGCCTCGCCCTCCCGGCTCGAGGGTGAAAAAGACGAGCGGAATGCCGTCAACCCACAGCGCGACGATCTCGTTCATGGGCACGTATATCATGCTGTCATCGCTGCTGCTTCCTCTGCACCCTTCGCTCATCCTGGACCGCACATCGACGCAGTCGGACCAGATGGTGCGCATCTGGCTTGCGCTGATTGGCGTGGCAGCCCCCGTGCTGGTCATGTGGTCGCGCGTTCGGCTCGGCGTACACACGCGTGCGCAGACACTGGTAGGCGCCGCACTCGGTGTAGTCAAGGCTATCGTCTGGTTCACCCTCTGGAACGGCACCCAGATCATGACCGGTACCAGCTCGGCTCCGGTCTTGGACGCTGCTACGTTCCCGTCCACACTGCAAGTGGGCCTGAGAGCCACAGTCGGCACACGCATCGACTCGCTCATTCGACACACCGAAGCCACCCTGCGCGATGCATCCGGCTTCTGATCCTGGCCCGGTAGGGGAGAGAGACAAGCCCATACAGTTCATAGAGTCGTGCAATCCTAGACTTTCCTCGAAAGCCTGCACTGCGTGGAGGGGTGGTCCCGATGTATCAACCCGATACAGGAAGACTAGGAAAATATCGGGGAAGCCGGCCGACTTGTCGGTTAGATGACGTCACAAATTTGAGCTTCGCCCAACTGGACGTGGTTTGAACGCCGCACCCTAAACCACACCTTCCCGTTCGAGTTAGGAGCCTCCACTTTCTTCTCTGCCGTGCCGTTCGCTCCGCGCTCACACAGCTTTCTTCCGGCTCCAAAGTCGGCGGCTGCAGATGACGTGCGGGGCGGCACCTCGGCCCCCTCGTCACCGCCGTCACCGCCGTCACCGCCAAGACGCCGTTGTTTCACGCTCACGGATCAAGGCTCTGTCAGAGCGCACCGGGACGCATTTAGAACGTTTCGAATCCGGTGTGTCTGCAATTTGCGTTCGGTGCCGCCCCCCTCCGGAAGGCACAGCCGGCCGATCAACCTTGCCCTCTGCTCAGATCCGTGGCGCATTGGCTGAGCAGCGCTGGAAGTTTCGAACGGGTGGCGCGGTTGCAAGAGATGCCGACGCTGAGTGTGTCGCAGCCGGCGCGCGAGGCTGAGAGAGCAATGGCTGTGTTGCCGAGAGCGGTTCCTGCGGAAGCATGCAAGTGCTCGCTCCGTCATAGCGAGGTCTGCCGATCAAGCTACATGCCGGGCCATGAATCGCTTGCTGAGGCAGCCTCTGAGACCCTCTCCGTGCGCAAAGGCGTGATTCGGTGGACCGCCCGTCATGTCGCGCCTCGCTTCAGAACGCTCTCCCGGATGACGTCCCGGCTGCCACTGTGCACCGCCCAGTACATCCGTGCGCTGCTCATCCTCCACCGGGACTGAGCCAGGAGTATATAAGGTCGCTACTCCATCCTTGTTGCATCTGGTGTCTGACAAACATCATCACCTCGACAACATCAACATGAAGATCTCACCCTCGTTCGTTCTTGCACTTGCTGCCGCTTCTTCAGCGGCTGGCTCGCCTGTATTCAGGCGCCAGGCAAGCAGCGATATGGGTGACCTGCCCACGCCCGTGTCCTCGGCCGGCTCCAGCGCGACTGGCCGTGTCTCCTCGGCTGTCCGTTCTGCCACTTCTACTGGTGGCACGGCCCTCTCCGGTGCCTCTTCGACGGTGGCTCCCTCTTCGACGTCGTCCGCTTCGCCCGCCGCGTCCACGGGAAGCTCGGGCTCGTCTACGTTCAACGATACGCAGATCCTGCAGTACGCACTGACGCTCGAGCACCTCGAGGCGACGTTTTACAACCAGTCGCTGTCTAAGCTCTCGAGTGCCGACTTTGAGGCGGCGGGATACAACGCCTCGGTTCGCAACCAGATCTACTCGATCGGCCGCGACGAGGCTGCCCACGTGGATCTGCTCACCACCGCCCTGGGTGAGAACGCTGTGCCCGCGTGCACGTACGACTTTTCGAGCGTCACCGATGTTGCATCGTTCCTCACCACCGCCCGCGTGCTCGAGGGCGTTGGTGTCTCGGCGTACCTCGGTGCGGCCAAGAACATCTCGAACAGCACCTACCTCGAGACCGCCGGTAGCATTCTCACGGTCGAGGGCCGCCATGCATCGTACCTGATTGCCCAGACCAACGATGGCGGCAACGCTATCCCGGGGCCGTTTGATACGCCGCTTGACTTCAAGGAGGTCTACTCGCTCGCTGCACCCTTCATCCAGGAATGCCCCCAGAACGCTACACTGCCCATCACGTCGTTCCCTGCCCTCAACCTCACTGGTGGCGCCGCCAATGGATCCTTCACGCCTGGCCAGCAGGTGACGGTGGCGTACGAGGCCAACTCGACTTCGGGCAACTCGAGCTACCTTGCGCTCATCCAGGGCGTGGCACAGCCGCAGTTCCTCCAGCTCGAGGGCAACTCGTCGCAGGTGACGCTGCCGAGCAACCTCACGGGTGGACAGATGTACGCCGTGGTTACCAGCGACAACTCGGGCGTTACCGATGACAACACCATCGCTGGTCCTGCGGTGGGCTACGTCAACATCCCCCTGCCCCAGGCTCCTGAGGCCACCAACTCATCGTCGTCGTCGTCGTCGGCTTCGGGCGGATCGACTGCTACGGGCAGTGCAGGTGCAGCTCCCACCGGATCTGCATCGAGTGCTGCTTCGGCCAGCGCTACTGCGAGTGGCTCGGACTCGATCGTCTCGACCGAGTCCGCTAGTGCGACCGCTACCGGCTCCCAGTCGCTTCTGCCCTCGCTGGCTAGCCTGGGCTCGGCCAACATCCCCACCCCCACCTCGTCGGCCTAATCCCTTCCCTCATGCCTCACATCCACGCTCCGGAATGAACAGTTGAATACCCACACACATGCGTGACAGAGACGAGCTGATTAGAATTCCAGATCTTGCGGACGAGCTTGACTTGCCTTGCTCAGTGGTGGTGGTGCGCGCTGTGTCGCACCGGGCCGCCCATGAGAGTGCGCCGAGCGCGGTGCCGTATCGACTTGCACGGCATACTCGCCCGTCGGAGGTGCAGATGCAGCCGCAGCCATTCCACGCTGCCGCAACGCGGCGAGTCCTTTTAGCTTCGGAGCGTTCCCTGTTGGCTGCGCCCCCTGCGCCCCCTTGGCACCCTGCGCTTCGGCCTTGGCCGCAACTGTCCTGTCCTCTGTGCGTGACTGTGGAACTGGCGTTGCGCGCTTCGGTTCGGCTTCCGACTTGGGCGGTTTGGTCCGGCGCTCGCTCACGCCGCCTTCCACATCGAGGTGCAGCGTCTCGATCACGAGCCTCTTGCGTCTCACCTTGAAGGCGAGGTTGTTCTCGCCGCCACCAGCACCACCCTCACCTGCACCCGCCAGACCGCCCGTGCTGGCGGCGCCAGAGCCCATACCGCGCAGCACCGAGGATCGGATGCTTGGGTTGGTGAGTGTGCCGATCGCGGGCGTCTTGAGCACCTTGAACGCCCCCGTGTACGCCGAGAACGCGCGACGCAGCGCCGCCGAGCTTGCGAACGCACTCAGAGAGACCGCCGCATCGACGCTGTGCACGAGACGGTGCGCCAGGTTCACAGGTGCACCCCAAGACGTGCCGGAAAGAAGAAACGACGAGATGGAAATGACGGCGATGGCGGGGATCGCGACGGTGCGCGAGGATGGCGTGGTGTCAGTGAGTGCAAGCGAGCGCAGGAGGTGGCGCAAGCGGTGCAGGAAGCGTACGGTCTCGGTGTGCGCCGTTTGCCCACGTGCGGTTGTCCAGCTAGGCGACCCGAGCGAGCGCACTGCAATGCGCAGAACCGGAGGCGCCGAAGTGGGTGCAGCCAGCTGCTGCTTTCGACACCGATCCGCGACAGCGGCGATGCGCTGCAGCGCGACTTCGTACGAGCTCTCCCCCGCGAGCTGATCCGCCACATCGACGACCTCGAGCCTTCCCTGTGCAGCGGCGTGCTGTACGAGGCGTGGGTCGATGCGCTTGCTAAGGTCAAACGTCTGGCAGAACGGCTGCGCCTCGGCCCCAGCTCCCGCCGCACTGGTACTCGGCTCATTGACCGTGGTGTTGAACTGCTTCATGCTGTGGTACCGCCAAGCGATCTTCATCTCTCTCTCGCGCTGCGATGTCACATCCCCCTCTGCGGGCGTTTTGCTCGACGGAGTCTGTGCGTCGTCTTCGTCGACAACGGTGTCGAGGCTATCCGAGGGCGCTTCTGCGTCTGCGGCCGGTGCGGTGGCTGGTCCCAGCTGGGCGAGGAACTGGTCGTCGAGATCGCCTGCGCGAGCCATGAGACCGGAAGTGAAGCCGGCAACGTCCTCGCCGATGATGATGTTGGCGTGGGAGGACGCGATGCCCTGTGCGACCGAGTAGCCGAGGAGGAGGTCGAGGTACGGCTCGGCGAGCGCGCGAGCTGCATGGTCGGTCTCGGCAGTCGCGGAGGGCGTAGAGGTGGATGCACCAGTGTGAGCGGCAGAGTGAGCCGCAGTGCCGGAAGCGGGAAGTAGCAGGAGGTCCGCGCCTGAGGACAGTCCGCCGCCGGAAAGGAGGTCGTCGAGCGCGGGCACGCCTGTCGAAACGAGCGGCACGGGCGACGAGAAGGAGGACGGCTTGACGCCGGCCGGAAGAGGCAGTGGCGCCGAGCCCGAGGTCGCATTCACTCGCCGCTTGAACGACGACATGCTGCGGCAGCCTCGCAGTAGAGTGTCGAAGGGTAAAGGTGCGGAAGTGAAGATCAGGAAGCTTGTGCTTCTTGGCTGAGTTGGCAACCGCACCCAAAATTCTGAGGTGGAGGACCGTTTTTGGTCCAGTCATTGTCACGTAATACGACTGCAGAAGCTGTTAGAGCGCCTCACCGCTCTGGCCAGCTTGTGCGAGGTCGGCCGCCCTTGTGCGACAGCAAAGCCGCAAGCTGCCGGCGGGGTATTCCTTTGCATTGCCGCCCCTCTCCGCCATCGCTGGAGCGCAGTCTCCACCTCCACTCGGCGATGCTCTCCTCGGCCTCCACAACCGCTTCCACCTCCACTGCCACCCGCCAACGTCTTGCGAAGATCGTACCGGCCCTCAAGGTACAAATAGCGCCCTTCCTTCCCGTCCAATTCCTTCTAATCGCACATCCACCAAGACAACAACCGCAAGAATGACGACTACCGCACAGCACAAGACGCGCGTCAAGGTGGTGTTTGGGTGCATGACCTTTGGCGCTGCGGGCGCAGAGCAGGCGCGCGTCCACGACCTGAACGACTGTCGAGCCATCGTGGACATCTTTGCGTCGCACGGGCACACGGAGCTCGACACGGCGCGCATGTACGGATTGGGCAGCTCGGAAGACTATCTGCGTCAACTTGGCTACACCGTCCCCAATTCGCAAGGATTCGAGGTGGCGACCAAGGTGTTCCCCAGTGCACGCAAGGCCAACTTCCCCAGCAAGGACAAGTACACCTTCTCGGCCGCCGACATTTCCCGTTCCATCGACGATTCCCTGCGCACATTGGGCACGTCGAGTTTCGACCTGTTCTACCTGCACTCTCCCGACCGCGAAACACCACTCGAAAGTACGCTGGAGGCAGTGAACGCCGCGTACGTGCAGGGCAAGTTCAAGAGATTCGGTGTCAGCAACTACCGTGCAGATGAAGTGGACCAAATCATCCAAATCGCCGACAAGAACGGATGGGTCAAACCCGTCGTCTACCAGGGACTCTACAATGCCATTACTCGCACAGCAGAAGAGGCACTCTTCCCTACCCTGCGCAAGCATGGAATTGCATACTATGCTTACAACCCCCTCGGAGGAGGATTCTTCACGGGCGCTTTCAACCCCCAATCGGATGTGGAGAAAGGCTCGAGGTTCGATCCGGAACGAGCCCAGGGCCAGATGTATCGCCAGAGGTACTGGACCGAACACTACTTCAACGCCATCGAGGCTATCCGTCCCGTTGCGGAGAAACATGGTCTGAGTACCGCAGAGATCGCGCTCAGGTGGATGATGCACCACTCGGCACTCGACCCCGCGCACCGAGACGCCGTGATCATCGGCGCAAGCTCAACCAAGCACATCGAGCAGAACCTGATCGACCTCGAAAAGGGACCCCTCCCCCAAGATGTCCTCGACGCTGTTGACAAGGCGTGGAACATCGTCAAACCCCACGCTCCCGCTTACCACCACTAGTCCCTGTCTCAACCCTTGTCAATGCTGTTGAACCAGAAACGAGCTTTGTGTATGGAAATAGTAGATGCGATAAAAATGTTCGTTGGAAGTCTGAGTCTAGGAGAAGCCATGGGCAGGAGGCAGCGACGGGATGGGTCTCCTCGATGGCGGTCGCATAGTTCTATCTCTGTCCATCTGTTCTCCATTCTCGGCCTCGTCGCGATCGGGCTTGACCCGCCTCGGACCGGAGTCGACGGATCCGTGCATGAGCGGCGAGCGCTGCTGCGGCTGGTAAGAATCGCCCACCGCTGCCGCCTTGGCTGCCGCTAGCTTGACCTCGTTCGAGATGCTGCGCATGCGCGGGCTCATCGCCCGCATTCCCACATGCCCGATCGACAAAGTCGGCAGCTTCTTCTCAAACTCCCTACCCGGGGGCGTCGAGCCGGAGCGGTCCATGGAGTGGGGTTGCGAGTGCTGGCGTTGGCGCACCACTTCGCCCTGCGGCAGCGGGTCCATGGGCATAAGCGGCGACGTGCGGCTCGAGAAGCTGCCCGAACTGCTCGCCTGGCTCTCGCTCATGAGCTCCCGATTCGGCGTCACCGAACGACGAGGCTGCCCGAGCCGCGTCACTAGACCGCGCATGGCCGCACTGCGCGACGACGACGGCGACGTCTCAACGAGCGACGTGGAGATCGAGCGCTCGTGGATCGTGGCAGCATCGCCGCTGGTGCCGTTCGAAATCTTGCGCCGGTACGGTGCGGATGCACGCATGCCGACCATCTGCCCCAGCGCTGTCGTGCCGGGCAACGCCGCTGCGACCGAGGTAGGGCTGTTCGTGCCTACGCCAGGCGGGCTGCGATTGCCCTCGCCCATGTGCGTGTCCGACAGAGTGCGGCGCACCGTCCTGCCCACCTCGCGCTCGGCGTGGCGCTGGCTCAGGATATCACGCGCCAGCTCCTTGACCAGCACCGCATTGTCCTTGACACTGAGCCTCTCCACCGCCTCGTACACGTGCAGCTGCTCCACCAGCGGCGAGCGCGCCTCGCCGCGAAGATCGCACATCATCTTGGTGAGCCTGAGCAGATTCAACCGCACCACCGCCTTGGGATGCGACAGACGTTCCAGCAGCCGCTTGACAAACAGCGTGTTGCGCGCCATCGACGTCACAATCCCACCGGACAGTCGACACACCTTGACAAACGGCTCGAGCAGGTTCTCAAACGAGTTGGCCTTGCTCGTGGCAAAGACGCAGAGGAGCGCATCCACCGACGTCGGCTGCACCAGCACCTCGTCCACGCGCGCCGTCTCGTCCTGCAGCCAGATGAGGATGCTCTCGAGCGCCGACACTTGCCAGTACGGATCCTCGAGCAGCTTGAGGTAGAAGTGCAGTCCGCGGTGCTGCCAGAACATCTTGCGCGTCGCCTTGCCCGCGTGCGCAAAGTCGCACAGGATCGGCAGCGCAAACTGGCGCATGGGCGAGTTGGTGCGCGCCACGCGCAGCAGCTGCGGAATCACGCCCGCCTGC